TCGTCGTCGTCATCGTCGTCATCGTCGTCGTCGTCGTCGCGGTCGTCGTCGTCATCGTCGTCGTCGTCGTCGTCGTCGTCGTCGTTGTCGTCGTCGCCGCCGTCGCCGTCGACGCTGGCGTCGGTTACCGCGGCTGCCACCACCACTGACCGGCACCACTAGCGTCAGTCAGCTTTCTATCGATTTTCCGATACCTCGTGACCAACGTTGCTCGATGTGCCCGATACTTCGAGCATAAACATCGACTGGCGTCACCTGTCCTCTCTCTTTCTATCACTCTTCCTCATCGACCACGACTAATAACTGAAAATCGAACCATCGATATCCGTTTATTCGATATTGACATTCGATCTACACAGATCTTCTTATTTTTCATCTACTCTACTATTTAGATCTCACTCACTGTTTTTTCATAATTTTTTTTTTCTTTTCATCTGATGTTGATCTTTGATTAGATTGCAAATCGATGAAAATGTAGTTTTTGACTTTTTGACTATCTCATTTTATTTTCACTGTTCTTTAATTTGTCTACATTTGTTGCATTCACTTTTTCTTTTGAACGAAATATCCGTGCAAAACTTTGCCGAATCAGGAATAAATGTTAAAGGGTAAACGACGAAGTAACGTTTTTGGAAAGTTCTTTTACGCGATACAATCCCGATCGATTAATCAGTTTCTTTCCTCTCTCACAGGAGGAAACAAGCGCACGTCGCGGATGTCGCAATGTCCGAAGAATCGATCACCGTCCGGACACGTCAATCGGCTGATCAATAACGGCTAGCGAACACGAGTTCTCGTCCACCATCTTTAAAAGCCATAATCCCTGCAGTTGCGTCTGCTTTCTCCCTTTCTTCTCGCTCTTCCCTTTCTCTCTATTTTATTGAACTATTATCAGTGAATATTTGACAGAAAGATCGCGACAATGATGACGCCATAAACGAACGAAACTACTTACTGTCCACGCTATCTTTATTAATCTTTCTTTCTCTTACTTACACATCCTCACACATAAACAACACTCATAGACACATTTGTATATAGATAGAAACACCGAAAGAAACTCTTTGAACGTTTGCCGTTTATCGAACTCGGTCCACTTCGATCGTCCTTCGAGCACCGAAATCGAAGAGAGTCGCGAGATCAAAAGGTCGATTCTGGAATCCCTGGCAGCGTAACGCGCATCTCCCTGCGCTGTATGACGGGGTTGCCCCGACCAGGGTGGGAACTGCGGGGGGAGACTGACTGAGTGAGTGAGCGAGTGTCTGTGTATGTGTCTGTGTGTGTATGAGAGAGAGAAAGAGAGAGAACCGTTTCCCAAGATGTCTACCACCACTTGCCCGCTCGCTTATTCGCGTACCTTCGTACTTTACGAAACAAACTATCAGCACTGTTCTATTAGAATTTTCATTACCGATCAATCTTCAAAACTTCCCCTTAACAACGACTATCCGATCATAAAGTATTTACTATAAAACTAGCAAGTATTTATCATACATTTAGTATACTAGTATGAAGGTATGCCAGGACTTTGATAAAAATAACCAAGTTCGAAGTGGCTCTTGTTCAATAGTCGATACAAAAATCAATGGACACCCCTTAAGTTTGCCGATAAGTATCAAAGTCTATCCATCAATTGGAATCCGAAATTTGATCGAAACACTTTGTCTCTGTATAACAGTCTTCGTTTTTTATATTTAGCTACTTTATCTTTGCGATTTTGTTCGATTATGGGTTCGATCGAGAAGTTTCTTCTAAGCTTCATCCACCACTTTCCACTCTCTCATATATATATATCTGTATCCTATCTATAACGCTCTCTCTATTTTTCCGTTCTCCAGCCTTTCAAAGCTTTTATAAGAGTAAGCTTATTGTTAGACGTTAAAAAGAAAAAAAAACTCGCGCGGAGAAAGGAGTCACGCAGCAGCTTCGGCAAGCTATCGTCAACAACCTTCCGCACCTTCCAATTCTCTTTCTCATTCTCTATCTATCTATCTACCTCTTATATCTTTCTCTTTCTCTCCCTCTCTCTTTTCTTCCTCTAAGGTTTTCTTCTCTCGTACTCTCCGCTGTCTCGAGCGAATTTACGCGCACGCGTGCGCACGCTTGAAAACGCTACGCGTTCATACACAGCTTCGTGTCTTTCTGTTTGTCGTCTCAGTCTGTGTCTTTCTGTCTCTCTCTCTCTCTCACTCTCTTTCTTTCTTCCTCTCTTGGTCTCCTTTACCCTTCTGAGCTACCCTCTCACCCTCCTCCCATCTTCCAACCCCACGATATTGTCACAGAAGCCAGAGCCTTCTCGAGGAAGTTTCTACGCGCAATAATAACGCTGCATACATACGAGCAATTAAAAAAAATAATAAAAAACTGTAAATGAGAGACGGAATGAAAATAAAAGAAATACTGTTTCGTACCATATAATTAATATAATAGTAATTTTAAGTTAAATTAAACTTTAGTTAATAAGAATGCACATGAATAAGAATAAAACAATAAATGCTACAAATAAAATTTAATAAGGGTAGTTAACAAAAAACAGAAAAAAGAAAATGAGATTGATCTTGTGTTCAAATCTCGAAAGGACGATCGCAAAAAAAAGTTGATGACGTAGAAGCGTATGAACGATGAAGAAGAGGACGAACTCTCTCTTACTCTATTTCTTTCTCTCCTCTTCTTGGAGAAAACGAGCTTCGCGACGGAGTTGCGCAAATCGCAAATGCGACTACTACGATACCGAGGGATGTAAGGGTGTTCGGTGAAACGAGGAGAATGTTTAGGAGGGCGAGTATATACACTATATATGCTATACATATATACTAAATATATATGTATAGTGCAGCCACGCGGAGAATGAGTACGAGAGGGATGGTAAGCTTGCTCCGCCTATCCCCACTTTCGACGCTCCCCAAGTCCACAGAGTAGGATTTTTCTAACATAGCGTATGATTTCACATTAACGACAGACACAGTTATGTTTCACGGTCAACCGATGATAGAAAAAATCATCTTTTTAAACTACGTCAATTTTTTATTGCTTTATCTTTCTCTGTTTCCATATGTTGTTCTACTCCATACCTTTGTCACGTATTGGATTAGTTTATGTGATCTTTTCTGCTAATAAGTAAAATATGCGTGATATAAGGAAATATAAAGCAAAAGTGAATTGTGGATTGTCATTTCAACCAATCAATCAGACTCGTATTCCTAGCAGACTCATTCTTAGCATAGCCGTACTATACATATATTCTATTATATGTACACGCAATCATAGATATAGTTATATGTATAGTCACATATCATAAAGTTTATTTTTATATGTGTAAGTATATGTGAGAGTGACATGAGAGTGACTGTGTGTGTAAAATCGTGAGGAGAGGGAAGAGATAGAAAGGAAGAGAGAGGAAGAGATCTTGCAACAGGGATCTGTAACGAACTCGATATGTAGGGGTCGAGAGAAGAGGATGGGTAACGGGGGTTGCTTCAATAAGGGGGTTGTTCAGGAACCACTCGAGCATTCAAGACACCCTGTCTCTTTAACAATTCTCTTTATATTCTACTTATTTCATACACAGATTTGTGATTTGAGATCAATATTTTATGTAAAAAATCGATTCTAATATTGAATTTATTTTGAAATAAATGAATTAGGATAGGAATAATACTTTAACCAATAGTTATTTAATGTAAAATAATCGGGTATTTAATTGAAATAAAATGATTGATAATTCGTTAATAAATTCAAACGATATAAATTAGTTCTTTCGTTTAATTCACTCATTATGAACTGTTTAACCGATCGATCGAAGCTGATAGTCGTTCTGAAGTTTAACCGATCAGGGGAATACGAATTTCTAAGACTTCCTGTTAGCCTGATTCCGTTCATAGAAAGAAAAGTAAGCGCGTCCATTTGAAAGAACTTAAAAATGACGTGACTCGATATTTCCCGTAGCGAGAAACTTGATCGATCGTTCAAAGGTTGGTAAGTGTTTTTCCCAGCAAATTTACGAGTTTTTCTCGGCACGCTTTTTACAAACGATAAATAAATCAATCTGAATAAAATACAGAACGATATAAAGTAGCTTGTCCTAGGTCGAACGTTTGCTGATACTCCAACGACATACCGTAAAGGTTAGCGACGAAGTAAAATCGATATTGGCCTGTAAATCTGACGGTAAAGTGAAATTAAAAATAAAACTGGTATACCACCCAAACAAAAATCAAGCTTTTTCATGATATAATACTTAGCATTCTTACCTTCTTTCGGGTTTCTTATAATCGATGAAAAAAATTCTTTTTATATTAGGAATGTCGTCATTCATTGGAAAATATTTACAAAATTCGTTATTTGTTAAGACACAAATACTTTTATCTTTAAATGCTTTTCTTTATATATTTATTCTACACTCCAGTTAAAATCAAGTTTATTTAATCACCCATCTGTTTAAAATTATTTGCGATGGAATGTATAGAATAGAAAATATTATATACATTAGACCGAATAAAATATTGTGTTTTCAGGTCTTCACACACGGAAGTTGCCGCTTCTGAAGACCCACAGGCTGACGATGACTCTACTATCTAAATTACGATGAGACTCTAATACAACTACTACTTCAATATCACGATAAATAAATCAATTAAAAAAATATCGAAAGAATCATAAAAACATAATTTCAAGTTCAACTGCATAAAACGCAGTTAATTGAAAAAAATAAAATTTATATTTAAGGAAGTAGTAGAAAGAATACATTTATTAAATAAAAAAGTAATGCTCCTATTTATATACTTAAGGAAAACAAATTCTTGACGACACTAATAAAATTCTATTTTTATCATTTGTACATATCTATAAATATTTAAATTTATATTTGTAGTATAATTTTAAATAAATATATATAACATTTAGTGTATAAACATGTGTGTGCCTTCAGAAATGCATTTATATATATAATTTATAAAATAG